CACCACAAACATCACCTTACTCAGTTCCTGGCCAATATCACTCATGAAAATCTCATCAAAGCTGTGAAAGAAGACCTTTCCAATGACATCCTCCTTGCTAAAGTTCATGCTCTTGCCTTCTTTTTTTTATGAATATATATCAAACCCATTTTACAATCTCATTTTAAGTAAGAACACAGCACATCAAATCTTACAACCTGATTTCATCATGTGGCCATCTTTTCAGAAACAAAATCCCTCTTTTCTTTCACTATCCTCTTCCGAAAACAATCCCCATATAGATTTCACTTCAGAATGTCTTGGACTCATCTGTTCATATGCTCTCATTGATTTCACTCGTCTTGTTGACAATCAATTGCCATCAGGATGTCATGCAGATGACACTCGTCAACTCCGAACAGAGTCATCATCTGTACCAAAATCAAACAGTATTGGAGAAAGCCAATTTGCTTTTGTCAAACATCTGAGGAGTTTCCAAATGCCAGCACTCCCCACCTGGAAGTCAACATCCTCTGGGCATACACCCGACACAACAACCCAAATAAACCAACTCTTTGGGAGGATTTTTCAAAACTTCTTTCATCAAAGAATGATTACCCTGAAGAATTATGATTTTGGTTTGGTTTGTTGTTTTACGCCACACTCAGCAATATTCCAGCTATTAGACGGCGGTCTGTAAATAATCGAGTCTGGACCAGACAATCTAGTGATTTACATCATGAACATCGATCCACGCAATTGGGATCGATGACATGCATCAACCAAGTCAGTGAGCCTGACCACCCGATCCCGTCAGTCGCCTTTTACGACAAGCATAGTCGCCTTTTACGGCAAGCATGGGTTGCTGAAGACCTATTCTTCCCCGGATCTTTACGGGTCTAAGAAGAATTATATGACAGATCAGCATACTGTTAAAGTTTTTTAAATGAATAAGAAAGACCATCTTATTGCAATGACGGATATTGAAAAAGCCCAAACCGTCAATGTCAATCAATGGTTTTGTCATTTACATCCTCTGGGCGGACAAGCCATACACTTGGCTCCTCTCTCTCTCTCTCTCCCGAAGATCGCCACCTCAAGCTGGAACCAGCCCACCTGCAAATGAAAGAATTTCAACTCGTCTGGCAGCATGGTTGTCAGAACCTTCATAAGCAGAGGTTACAACGTCTTCAGGAAAAGAACCAAGCTGAGAACACTGCAATGCAGTTAAGTGTTTGGAAGCCACACAGTCTGTCGCTACCCAAGGAGATCACTGCAGTACCCAAGATGAAGGAGGTCACTGCAGTACCCCAGATGGAGGTCACTGCAGTACCCCAGATGAAGGAGGTCACTGCAGTACCCCAGATGAAGAATGTTCCATGCAAGGTAGTCATGAAGATCATGATTGTGAGGTAATAAAACAGGTAAATTGAGTCAGTGAGGGGATCAGATTGCTTAATGAAACAAAAATGCGTTGTACTTTCAAACCCATGCAGAATCAAATTGTTTCTCCTTCTGTGCCTCTGTATTATCCAGTTTCAGTTCTAAATTTAGCACCCTTTCTTGCAGTTCTTTATTTGCCTCTCCTAAAATTTTATTCTCGCTTTATGTCTCTGGATAGCACTCCACACTTCTTGTCAAGACAGTATGTGTTTCGTTATCAGTTTTAACATGCTGGGGATGTCGACATCTATCAACATATCAACATTACGCTGAAAAAATCATTTCCTCTGTCTTGCCTTAACAGTGTTGGTTGGTTGGTTGTTTAACACCGCACTCCGTAATATTCCAGCTATTTGACGGCGGTCTGGAAATAATCAAGTCTGGACCAGACAATCCAGTGACTTATAACATGAGCATCGATCCTCGCAATTGGGACCGATGACATGCATCAATCAAGTCAGCGAGCCTGACCACCCGATCTCGTTAGTGGCCTCCTACGACAAGCATAGTCACCTTTTACGGCAAGCATGCGTTGCTGAAGATCTATTCTACCCCGGTTCTTCACAGGTCCCTTAACGCAACTCACTACTCGGGCCTGGGTTTGATTCAATATCTGCACAAAGTTCAGTTAATCTGGAAACGAAAGGGTTAAGATCGTGATGCGTTTGGACACACATCATATATGCTTTACCAGACTGAATACCCACGTCCCCGCTACGATTGTCCCCTGTTGACGGGACCTTCGGCGATTATTTACAGACCGCTGTCATATAGCTAGAATATCGCGGCGTTAAACAACAAGCAAACAAACATGAGCCGAAGGATACACAAACAAATTTACCAACGATATAATATGAAATTGTCTGGTTACAAAACTCTCACTTCATTTCAAGGTTCTACTTTTAGAGAATTTCTTGGCGGATGGTTGTACAATTAGACCAACGCGAAACCTGACCGACACTGAACTGTCACCCCACGGCTGCTGTCTGTCTGTGTGTCGCACGCCGGGCGCACGTGCAATTTGTGCGTCACGTGATGAAAATCAACTGGTTGGCTGAGCACGACTCTTGCACGTGACCTGCTGCCGCAAGCTCCACACACCATTGGCACATTTCAAAGAGAAAATTGAAGTACAGGAAGATTACCTCACGTACATTCCATATTATTAGTGCTCTGTATACATTGGACATTGCATTAATATTACCTATATAAACCACATGTTGTAAAATGAGGACCAAAATAGGCTTTCTGAATAGGCAGTGAACCTGTTGATATGATCATGATAAGAATATGATAACGTACGTGAGTGAGCGAGTGAGTGGAGTTTAACGCCGCTTTTAACAGTATTGCAGTTATATCGCGGCGTGTCATGTTAATGTGGGAGGAAAGACAGAAGTGATACAGGTCTCAGACGAAAACCCACGAGCACGGGTATGGTGCTGACAAACCTAGAAACATAATCGGGGCGAACCGGGATTCGTACCCACAATCATAGTTTTCTGTCGTGCCCAAGGGACGCAACTCTGCACAGCGAATCGCGGCGCCTTATACGACTGAGGCACACGTGTCCCCAATTTGTTTACATAGTCTTGACACCATTCAAATTTGGTGGGCGGTGGTACATTTGTTTTTGAAGATGTATGATTTTGTTAGAATGTTTAGTACGTCATTTCGTTTTTCCTTAAATCCAAATATGACATTTTGTTTAATTATTTCCAATTTTGTGCAAGTGCGGTTTTCTACCCATCCAGCTTTGCCACAACGGTTTTACATGTGTATATTCAAATAGCAGATGAATAATAGATTCAACTTCAGCATCACAAAAAGTAAATAATGGTGATATTTTATTTTGTAGATGCATAAGTCTTTAGTAGTTGTGAGAATTCATTGGGCCACTCGTTATTGAAACCATTTTAGTTTGGTTCTGTTAGTTTCCCGAAACAGAATGAAATTATTTATTTTACACAAATTTTCCGTTATTTCAGAATAAATTTCATTTTCCCGTTTTGTTTCACCGCGAATTTTATCCTTTAAATTTAGATGATTCACTAATCCGGACCAGGCAAACCAATGGCTGATAGCATGAGCAATGACCCACGCCATCGAGGCCAGGTTACCGACCCTGACCACCCGATCCTCTCAAGTCGTCCGTTGTTTGTTTGTTGTTTAACGACGCACTCAGCAATAATCCAGCTATATGACGGTGGTCTGTGAATAATCGAGTCCGGGCCAGATAATCCAGTGATTGGCATCATGAGCATTGACTCACAATTTGGGATACCAGGGCATGCATCAACGAAGGTTAGCGAGCCTGACCACCCGATCCCGTTACTCGCCTTTTACGGCAAGCATGAGTTGCTGAAAACCAATTCTACCCCGGATCATCACGGGTCTCGGGTCTTATGACACGCATCAGATACTAGGGATACAATTTTACTCTCAGAAGCGTGAACACTCTGTTCAGAATAGGTCTTCAGCAACCCATGCTGAGTCGACGATGGAGAACAGCATATAATTCACACTAACTGATACCACAGCTTAAAACATATCTGTGACGTCATTCTACTGTTTGAACGCTCCATTATTTTTCAGGAATGGAGAGCTGCTTGTCAACTGTACATTATCTTGAAGCAGCATTTGAATTTTTCCAATATTTTCAACTACAGAATAGTTTGTCAAAGTGTAAAAGTAGGGATGAGTTTTAAGTAGGGAAATAACCTCGTAACTCTCCATTCCTTAAAAATAATGGGCCTCTGTTCCGTTATTTTTAAGGAATGGAGAGTTACTCGGACATTCCCCTCTACATCGACGTGACCCGTGAAGAGCCAGGAAAGAGTAGCGCTTCACCAACCCATGCTTGCTGGGGACTATGCTTGTCGTAAGAGGCGACTAACGGAATCGGGTGGTCAGGCTCGCTGACTTGGTTGAAGCATGTCATCGTATCCCAAATGCATAGATCGATGCTCATGATGTCAATCACTGGACTGCCTGTTCCAGACTCGATTAATTAAAGCCCTCCGTCAAATAGCTGGAATATTGCTGAGTGCGGCGTTAAACAAACAAACAAACAAACAAACAAACACTGGGTTGTCTGGTCCAGACTCGATTATTTACAGACCGCCGTCATATAGCTGGAATATTGCTGAGTGCGGCGTTAAACAAACAAACAAACAAACAAACAAACCCTCAGAATCCCCACGGGGCTTATCCTTAAGCATCTGCGATGATCAGAAACAAGTTATTGTGTGGTTTCATCAACTAGCGATGTATTTACATTGTGCCTGCCACGGCCCTATGTTCTAACGAGGCTTGTAGGAAATTTGATACCCTAAACAAATGTAAAATTTGGAATTCAGAAGTATTCCACTCCAAGCAGCAAAGGCGGCATAAAACAATATCAGTTCCGTCATAATTACTCGGCATTAAGCCGCAATATTCGTTGGTAATATAGAGCCGTGTCTAAACAAAGCCCAACCTGTTTGGAATGGCGGGCCACTTTGCCTCATTCATTGCAATCGCTTACATTCTCCTTGGCGGCGCAGCGTTATCAGCGTTCTGCGAGTCACGTGACTCGCAGGCGCTGTTAATCTTCCAAACATTCATTCACGCCGCGATAAGCTAAACAGTGGCAACAGTGTGGCTCATCAGAACGCTTTCCTTCAGACCCGTGCCAGGATTTCGAATGATGATGCCATTTGGATTTACCTTGTGTTTGTTATGGGACTTTGCTGTGTCAGATTGAACTGCAGTTCCTGTTGTTGGTTTACTGTGCGGGGTATGACTGATCAATAAAACTGTTCTTTGAGATGGATTTCCAGCGCAGGACGGCTGCAGGAACGACACCATATGTTGCAGGTACGACTACATCGTCTTGTGCAGACCCGAGTCTGATTTATAATGAAAAAGTTGGGTTTGAAGTCGCTTGAATTGTATTTCTGTAATATCATGGGATGACAGCATGAATGGGTCGCTTGAATAGTATTTCAAAAATATCATTTGATTTTAGTGCTATGTTTCGCTTAATAGTATTTCAATAATATGTCGGTGTTTCAGTGCTAATGTGTCGCTTCAATGGTATTTCAATAATATCACGGTGTTTCAGTGCTAATGTGTCGCTTGAATAGTATTTCAATAATATCACGGTGTTTCAGTGCTAATGTTTCGCTTAATAGTATTTCAATAATATCACGTTGTTTCAGTGTTAATGTGTCGCTTGAATATTATTTCAATAATATCACGGTGTTTCAGTGCTAATATAATGTGTCGCTTCAATGGTATTTCAATAATATCACGGCGTTTCAGTGTTAATGTGCCGCTTGAATAGCATTTCAATAATGTCACTTTATTTTAGTGCTAATGTGTCGCTTGAAAAGTATTTCAATATTATTACGGCATAAAAGTCGGTAACGACGGGCTTGCCTCCCACATCCTCCTCACGTGCCGTGATATGACTAAAATACCGTTTACAAGGGGCACTCACTGAATGTTTGCACAAACACATACACTGTATAAACAGGAAACTGTATAATATGTCCAAACCATAATGTTAATCTGTGGGAATCTGAGAAGGAAATACCGGCCAGTGTACTCAAAGGCAAAAGAAACAAATCATGTTCAAATTATTCATATCGTCCTGTTGAGACTCACTTCACTAAAAAAACAAGTATCGTATTGAGGTATGATATCTTATTTTGTTTGTTGTTAAAGGCCACACTCAGCAATATTACAGCTATATGGCGGCGGTCTGAAAATAATCGAGTCGAGACCAGACAATCCTGTGATTGATATCATGAGCATCGATCCACGAAATTTGAATACGACATGCATCAACCAAGTCAGCGAGCCTGACTGCTCGATTCCGTTAGTCGCCTCTTTCGACAAGCATGGGCTGCTGAAGACATATTCTACCGATCTTCTCGGGTCATATCTTATTTTAATGAGATTGAACTTCAATATACCACTAAACAGAATCAATGAACCCTGGTCAACAAGTGGTGTGTTGTTTACACTGTTAAATAGCATTGTAGACTGATCACACTGTAAATACGTATCTTCCACGTGAAAGAAGGGAAACATAGTTGGTACGGATGGAGGTGGGATGGCGACAGTGACTGAGAGGTATGATGGATGCTAGAGGGATACAGGGGAAGGGGGCGTAGACGTTGAGATGGCGGAAGGGCAGAGATAACGAGGACAAGAGGGTGGAAGGAGTGAGTGAGTATACTTTTACGTCACTTTTAGCAATATTACAGCAATATCACGGCGAGGGACACGAAAACTGGGCTTCACACATTGTACCCATGTGGGGAATCGGAGGTCTTCGGCGTGAGGAGCGAACGCTTTAACCACGAGGCTACCCACAACCCCTGGATGGAAGGAAGGAGGGTGGGAAGAGGACAAGATTATTGAAGGAAGGAGGGTGGGAAGAGTACAGGTCGATGAGTGAAGGGAGAGATTGAGAAAATATGTGATAAAGGGGTACACGGTAGATGGAGGGTGTGTGAGGGGAGGGTGTGTGTGTGAGAGGGAGGGGAGGTGTGTGTGAGAGGGAGTGGAGGTGTGTGTGTGAGAGGGAGGGGAGGTGTGTGTGAGAGGGAGGGGAAGTGTGTGTGAGAGGGAGGGGAAGTGTGTGTGACAGGGGAGAGAGGTGTGTGAGAGGGAGGGGAAGTGTGTGTGAGAGGGAGGGGAAGTGTGTCTAAGGGGGTTAGGTGGTGTGTGTGAGAGAGAGGGGAGGTGTGTGTGAGAGGGAGGGGAAGTGTGTCTGAGGGGGTTAGGTGGTGTGTGTGAGAGGGAGGGGAGGTGTGTGTGAGAGGGAAGGGAGGTGTGTCTGAGGGGGTTAGGTGGTGTGTGTGAGAGGGAGGGGAGGTGTGTGTGAGAGGGAGGGGAAGTGTGTCTGAGGGGGTTAGGTGGTGTGTGTGAGAGGGAGGGGAGGTGTGTGTGAGAGGGAGGGGAGGTGTGTCTGAGGGGGTTAGGTGGTGTGTGTGAGAGGGAGTGGGTGTGTGTGTGAGAGGGAAGGGAGGGGAGGTGTGTGTGAGAGGGAGGGGAAGTGTGTGTGAGGGGGTTAGGTGGTGTGTGTGAGAGGGAGGGGAGGTGTGTGTGAGAGGGAGGGGAGGTGTGTGTGAGAGGGAGGGGAAGTGTGTCTGAGAGGGATAGGTGGTGTGTGTGAGAGGGAGGGGGAGTGTGTCTGAGGGGGTTAGGTGGTGTGTGTGAGAGGGAGGGGAAGTGTGTGTGAGAGGGAGGGGAAGTGTGTCTGAGGGGGATAGGTGGTGTGTGTGAGAGGGAGGGGAGGTGTGTGTGAGAGGGAGGGGAAGTGTGTCTGAGGGGGATAGGTGGTGTGTGTGAGAGGGAGGGGAAATGTGTGAGAGGGAGGGGAAGTGTGTCTGAGGGGGATAGGTGGTGTGTGTGAGAGGGAGGGGAGGTGTGTGTGTGAGGGGGTTAGGTGGTGTGTGTGAGAGGGAGGGGAAGTGTGTGTGAGAGGGAGGGGACGTGTGTGTGAGAGGGAGGGGAAGTGTGTCTGAGGGGGTTAGGTGGTGTGTGTGAGAGGGAGGGGAGGTGTGTGTGAGAGGGAGGGGAAGTGTGTCTGAGGGGGATAGGTGGTGTGTGTGAGAGGGAGGGGAAGTGTGTGTGAGAGGGAGGGGAGGTGTGTATGAGAGGGAGGGTAGGTGTGAGGGAGGTGAGGTGTGTGTGAGAGGGAGGGGAGTTGTGTGTGAGAGGGAGGGTAGGTGTGAGGGAGGTGAGGTGTGTGTGAGAGGGAGGGGAGGTGTGTATGAGAGGGAGGGTAGGTGTGAGGGAGGTGAGGTGTGTGTGAGAGGGAGGGGAAGTGTGTCTGAGGGGGTTAGGTGGTGTGTGTGAGAGGGAGGGGAAGGGTGTGTGAGAGGGAGGGGAGGTGTGTGTGAGAGGGAAGGGAGGGGAGGTGTGTGTGTGAGGGAGGGGAGGTGTGTGTGAGAAGGAAGGGAGGGGAGGTGTGTGTGTGAGGGAGGGGAAGTGTGTCTGAGGGGGTTAGGTGGTGTGTGTGAGAGGGAGGGGAGATGTGTGTGAGAGGGAGGGGAGGTGTGTCTGAGGGGGTTAGGTGGTGTGTGTGAGAGGGAGGGGAGGTGTGTGTGAGGGGGTTAGGTGGGGAAGTGTGTCTGAGGGGGTTAGGTGGTGTGTGTGAGAGGGAGGGGAAGGGTGTGTGAGAGGGAGGGGAAGTGTGTCTGAGGGGGATATGTGGTGTGTGTGAGAGGGAGGGGAAGGGTGTGTGAGGGGGATAGGTGGTGTGTGTGAGAGGTAGGGGAAGGGTGTGTGAGGGGGTTAGGTGGTGTGTGTGAGAGGGAGGGGAAGGGTGTGTGTGAGAGGGAAGGGAGGTGTGTCTGAGGGGGTTAGGTGGTGTGTGTGAGAGGGAGGGGAAGGGTGTGTGAGAGGGAGGGGAAGTGTGTCTGAGGGGGATAGGTGGTGTGTGTGAGAGGGAGGGGAAGGGTGTGTGAGGGGGATAGGTGGTGTGTGTGAGAGGGAGGGGAAGGGTGTGTGAGGGGGTTAGGTAGTGTGTGTGAGAGGGAGGGGAAGAGTGTGTGAGAGGGAGGGGAAGTGTGTCTGAGGGGGATAGGTGGTGTGTGTGAGAGGGAGGGGAGGTGTGTGTGTGATGGGGAGGGGAAGGAAGGGAGTAAAAGGTGGGATCAGAAAAGATGAGGAAAGGTAGCGGCAGTAACTGTGCACGTGTGGCTTAATTTGGCTTCCGTCAAGTTGTAGATGACCAGCTTCATCAGCATGCTCTTCTACCCTTCTTCATCAGTGTACAAACACTGCCACCTGAAAGTCCCCATATACTTAGTTTCCTAGTTTAACCAAGTAAGTGAACGATAATCAAGATCCAAATGAACTTACTCCTAACACACCTGCCTTACTCTTTCCAGATGGAGGGCAGCACTGACAGACAGGCTTATTAAAACAGGAGAATGCCCCTGGGTGAAAAAGACTGCCTCGCTTCTTATAAAGTGTTAGTGGTAGGCGAAACATCTGTCGGCAAGACTGCACTCATCAACAATCTCGTTGGCCGAGAATTCAGGGAGAGCATGGTCCCTACTATAGGTGAGTGGTTAAGCCGTTGTAAGTTCACACGAACCGGCAGAGAACTGTCTTCTGGACGGTACCCGGTTGGTAGGTGATGGAAAACTGTTGTCAAACTTGTTGAGGTGAAACATTGCTTGCAGAGAATTATAAAAGGGTTATTGATTGTATTTTTACTAAAATAATTCGTTAAAGCAGTATAAATTCAATTCTTAAAATGAATGGGGTGGGTGGGTGGTAGGGGTGTGGCACAGATCGCCCAGTCGTATAAGGCGCCGCGATTCGTTGTGCAGAGTAGCGTCCCTTGGGCACGCCAGAAACCTATGATTTTGGGTTCGAATCCCGTTTCGCCACGATTATGCTTCTAGGTTTGTCAGCTCGTGGGTTTCACCGAAGTGGTAAACGTCTTAGACCTGCATCACTTCGGGCTTTCCTCCCACATTACGCCGTGTATAACTGGAATACTGTTAAAAGCAGCGTTAAACCCAACTCACTCACTCACTTAAAATAAATGTGTCGGCTCACCAGCAGGACGGTACTCAAACAAGTGAGTAAATTGTATTTAACACCGCTTTGAACAGTATTTAAGTTGTTGTCTGGCGTGTCACATTGCTGTGGTCGGAAAGCCCGAAGTGAAGACGGTCGAAAATGTTTCCATTTTGGTGAAACCTACGATCACTGGTATGATGGCGATGAGACAATGCTCACTTTAGTAATTATCACGACTGCGTGGCGGTGCTTCATCACGGTAATGCGTTACAGTGACATGCCGTGCAAACATTAATCCCCTTCATGTCCGTCCGGTGCTGCATTTTGAAGAGTGTAGATTGGTCGTTGAAACGATTTAATTACCAGACCAACACACGGGATCCGGACTGTGTTTTGTTTTATCAATATCCCTGGGTCACAGCGAACGTGAACATTCATGATAAACCGGGCGGAATAGGAGTGAGTGAGTTGGGTTTAACGCCGCTTTAAACAGTATTCCAGTTATATCACGGCGTGTCCGCTTAATGTGGGAGGAAAGCCCGAAGTGTTGCAGGTCTTACCACTTTGGTGAAACCCACAAGCACAGGTATGGTGCTGACAAACCTAGAAACATAATCGGGGCGAACGGGATTCGAACCCACAATCATAGGTTTCTGGCGTGCCCAAGGGACGCAACTCTGCGCAACGAATTGCGGCGCCTTAGACAACTGGGCCAGCCGTGCCCCCGGGCGGAATAGGACATTGGGTGAGTGGGTGGATGTGTGAGGGAGGGAGTGAGGGATGGAGTCTAACTAAATAAGTTAGTGAAAATGGTTATACGCTACTTAATTATTCCATCAATATTCCATCAATATCACGGCGGTGGACACCAGAAATAGGCTTCACACATTGTACCCATTTGGGGAATCGAACCCGGGTCTTCGGCGTGACGAGCAAACGTTTTAACCACTAGACTACCCAAAAGCCCCAACTAAATAAGTGACACCATATCCTTGCAAATCAGTATTAACCGCTACATCAATGTTATATCAACAACACGATCAAATCTTTGAAAAAGAAAATAAATAAAAATACAAGATAAATCGACCTTCATATCGGAAATCGAGTAATGGTTGCGAACGAATGAAACCACTAGACCACCTAACACCCAGTTAACATTACACCGTTGTAAGCTGTTTTATGATAACGTTAAATCCCAGGTGAAAAACATTGACTGTTTGATTAAGACTTTTCTGAAAGGCCGACGTGACACAACTGTACAGCACGACTGACATAATTCACCATGGCAACCTTTGCCCCCGCTGAAATAAGACACCTGCGCGAGTCAACAATCACTTCACGCACTGTATGCACGGAATTCACGTGCACAGGTGTTCAAAACGATCATGACGACGTCGGTTAATTCTCCAAAGGCGAGATCAGACAGATTTATATTTCGGGATTGAAATGAAGGAACACATAAATATGGATTGTTTATTTCATTGACGCCAAAACAATTTTTGCTGCGTTTTATTAATAAACAAAATGCATGCGTGAAGCAATTTACGAAACAAGTAAAATGTCGCGAAAAATCTCTTTCATTCCTTTTCCTGCCTCCCGAGCAGGTGAAGTAGGGTGTGTTATTAAACATAACAGTGTTTATCTATCATTGTACGGTCGGTCATCAATCTTTTCTGACGGGGGAAAACGGGGAGACCATATCAAGCTTTCGATACACGTCTGCTGGGAGATTAATTTTACTTCCCAAATGTTGCAAATAAACAAGAAAGCGTCAGTAATGATGAATGCATCTCGGGAAAGACTACTTTAATCGCCCACAGTCTGTGAGTGCTGGCAGAGGGCGAACGAATGTTGTTTTATGCAAGGGGTAAATAATAAAATGTGGGCGAGACAAACCACTAGTTGATGGCATACTGCCTGGGTCCGATGACATACATTCTATGCGCAGTCGGGAGTATTAGAAGATGAAGATCCGGGGGTTGCCTGCCGTAAAAGGCGACTATGCTGGTCGTAAGAGGCGACTAATGGGATCGGGTGGTCAGGCTCACTGACTTGGTTGATGCATGTCATCGTATCCCACTTGCGTGGATCGATGCTCATGATATCAATCACTGGATCGTCTGGGCAGGGCTCAATTACTTACAGACCGCGGGGAGAGAGGAATAATAATAAAAGGATAATTCTTAAAAAGAATAATGCTGCATATTATTGGAAAAAAGAAATTGTCTGCCACAAAAATTACATTGTTGCAATGTGTTTTTTAGAAAAAGATATTTTGGTTCATAGTTTTAATCAAAACAATATCTGGTTTTGCAGCTGTTGCTGATGTAATATCTCGTCTCAATATAACATCCCAGCAACCCCTCCTTTCCCCAGTAAAGTGGGTCGAAATCAATATTAATGCAATGCTGTTCAAAGCGGCGATAACCACATGTTATGCATTCCTATTTCTCTAACAAAAAGGGGGCACGGCCCAGTCGTCTGAGGCGCCGCGATTCGCTGTGCAGAGTTGCATCCCTTGGGCACGCCAGAAACCTATGATTGTGGGTTCGAATCCCGTTCGCCCCGATTATGTTTCTAGTTTTGTCGGCACCATACCCGTGCTCGTGGGTTTCACCGAAGTGATAAACGTCTGAGACCTGCATCACTTCGGTCTTTCCTCCCACATTAAGCTGACACGCCGCGATATTACTGGAATACTGTTAAAAGCGGTGTTAAACCCAACTCACTCACTCACTCACTATCAAAAGATGTAACCCTAATGGTAGTCAGACTTCCACCTTGCCTGTCAGAACGCGCGTACGATGGCCCAGTGCTCAGGGTCACTGCTACGTATAAGTGGAGAGTTGCGTCACATGATCCGCTAATCATAGCTTCGAATCCCAAACTCGCTGTAATCTTTGCTTTGTCAAAATGGCAAACGTCAAAGACGTCACTTCCGGCTTTACTTCTCTGACAACTGTTCAAGGGACGTTGTTCGCCATCTCTCGAACTTACCTCAAGGTCAATATAAAACATATCATACCCTCTTCATCATATGAAAGGTCACCGTCAGTACTCACACCAAGTCATCCACTGTTGTGTTCGGTCGTGCAAATCACTGCAAGTTATTCATTTATACGTAATATTTGCCTCTCGATATTTGTCACTGCAGGAAATAGCCACAGCTGATGGAACAAGACAATAGCACTCCACTTGTTATGCTGGGAGCGTCCATGAAGAGACGTTTTCCTCAGAATATATTCAGGGGGTTTAGACAGGGAGGTGCCTTATTTCCATATTAACAGTGTCGCATAACATACCATGAGATTGATGTCGCCTCTATCGACAAAACATTGTAAACCCTAATAAAAAATATATATTAGACATACGTTCTGGGTGATTATAACAAAAGATTATTCAAAGGATTGAAAGAACCTGGAACAGAAAAGTCTAACATCTTTAAACATAAGACGTCAACGCCAAAGAATAAGCAGTGTCTATTATCCGAAGAAACATTCCATTTTTGGCGTAAAAGGCAAAATATCGGGTCGGGTTGTCAGGCTGGCTGACTTAGTTGATGCATGTCATCGTATCCCAATTGCGTAGAGTGGTTTAAAGGTAGAGCGTCCGCGCCCGCGCCCGGAGAGCGGAAGGTCATACCAAAAGACGTTAAAAGATGGTACTTGTTGTTACCCTGTCTGGCGCTCGGCACGAAGGGGCTAAAACAAGGACAGGTCGGCTCGGCAGTATACCTAGTCTGAGTGGGGTATTCATGTTAAACTGCGGCATGGTCTCTCATGGTACTAGTCCGTACAAGTACAAGTAACCACACACACACACACACACACACACACACACACACACACACACACGTACATGTAAGTCGCTATATAAGTGCAATAATCTTGGACGCGACGATAAACCTCATAGATCGATGCTCATGATGTCAATCACTGGGTTGTCTGGTCCAGACTCGATTATTTACAGACCACCGTCAAAAAGCAAGAATATTGCTGAGTGCGGCGTTAAAAAACAAACATAGGGTTAACCCCTACCGTTCACACACTTTGGATACAAAAGCAAGTGTTTGTGGCCCGACACGTGTTGCACGTGACTACGGCCTGTAGCGACCAGAATAAGGAAGACATTGTTTACAGGTCTCGGTTAATTGCCATTCCAAACTATTTTCAGCCATTGATTGTTTTGAATCTAGTTGTATAGTTTTTGTGTGTATCGTGATATTTGCAAAGACTTTTTAATTTGGATTAGGTGCCTCACTCTGGCAGTGTGGGTTCGAATCCCAGATAGGACTCAACCCCAAAAAGTACGAGAATCTGTACTTCACTAAGAAAGTTTTATCCCAAATATAACATTTGTTACATTTGTCTACTCCCCAAACCTCATTGTGTGTACGAAATATATCTCGCTCATGAGTGTAAACGGATATTTTAACGTTATATAATTTGAATCGGGCTCAAAACGAAACTTTCGTAACGAATGAGTACAGAGTATCCTAACAGAATGGAGATATAAACCACTAGATAAATGAG